TAAAGTATTTTTAAATTGTTTCAGAACATCTTTTCAAACGTCAATTTTCAATATCAATAATGAAACATGTTTTTTTTTTTAGGGAAAAAATTCTTCCTACCAAATAATGAAAAATGTGATGGTAAAATAGTTTTCCTTTGAAATTATTTTTCCCTAAAAAATATTTTTTTGGGGAAAATATCTCCCCCAAACAAACGTGTCCCAAAGAAAGTATAACATGGTGTAATTTTCATAGGTATCTACCTATAAGGGCATCATATTTAAATAGTGACAACCTTTTAAAAACTATAGGCTCATACATAGCAGCCCCTTCTCTAGAATGTATTATACTCCCTCCGTCCCATAAATATGGCACACTTTGACCGAGCACAGGGACGTAAGAGAGGATAAACTCTGTTGTTGAAATTTATGGAGAGCAAAGAGAAATAGTATGAACGCACATTCTTTTCCAAAAAAGGGAATGAGACAGAATTTTGGCATAGATGAAAAAGAAAAGCGGGAACGTAATTTTGGAACAGATGAAGTTACTATTATTGCCTATGCTCTCATGCCTTGCTGGTACTTGTGAGCGTAACTTGTTTCCTTACAGAACTTAATTTTCATCCATATGTTCTTTGCGAAATCAAGTACAAAAAATAATGCAACTCTTTGCTTAAATACCCATCACCTTGAGCGTGATATGACTACTGCTTTAATCTAAGTGTTTCATTTGTCATGTGCAGACCACATTGCTAAACCACATATTGACTGCCAATCATGGAAAGCGGATTGCAGTTATCGAGAATGAGGTTGGGCATTTGGTTGATCAGTTATTCTCCAATGCTGTACAATAGTGATGATGAATGCAGTCAAAAGTTGATCTTCATTTTATATGTCTAACTAGAGTAACATCTTGAAGATTATATGTTTAGTGTCTTGTTTGATAAACTATCCTAAATTAATATCTAACGGCACAGTATGGCGAAGTGGATATTGATGGTTCTTTGGTTGCTGCAAAAACTTCTGGGGCTGAAGACATTGTCATGCTTAACAATGGATGTTTGTGTTGCACGGTGAGGGGCGATCTTGTTAGAATGATTGCAGAATTAGTCAGTAAGAAGAAAGGGAGATTCGATCATATTGTAATAGAAACAACAGGTATAAACACCCTTGACAGTAAGATGGATTTCAATGCCTAATTTTAGATATGTGACTCATGTCACATGCGACATAATATTGATTTTTCTATGAATTCTTTTTTTTGTGCAGCCCTATTAAGAGATTCTACAATTTTAAATAATATCAAATCTTTTGCTAATTTTGAAGGCTTGGCAAATCCAGCACCAATTATTCAGACTTTCTACGCTGAGGATCAAGTATTTAATGATGTTAAGCTGGATGGTGTTGTAACATTAGTTGACGCAAAACATGCTGGTCTTCACCTGGATGAAGTCAAGCCAAAGGGAGTGGTTAATGAAGCAGTAGAGCAAATTGCGTATGCCGACCGTATTATAGTGAACAAGGTATATCTATGTTGATATGGCGTCTTTTGTTGGGTAGAGAAAGACAAAAACTGCACAGCCTTTATTCAGAATTTGGGGCAGCAATATTTAAACTAAACCTCCTCCAATAATTTATTTTTAAACCTTTCTTTAAATGAACACTGATCAATTCAAAACATGAAACTAATCAAACTATAATTTTTTAAAAAGAGGCCGGCTGTGAATTTTAACCTGTAACTGCTGCAAACAAATATTTTTTTAAAAATCATTTAAAACAGTAGTGGCTGTTACATCAAAAAAATTAATGGTTTTTAATAATGTTTTTCTTATGCGACGTTTATGCTTTAAACTGTTATCTTGGCATTTTCAATTAAAAAAATATATTTTGATTAGTGGCGCTTTGGAAGTAGATGCTGGCATGTTGCCCACTATTTTTTAAAATTAATTAAAAATAAAATATATGACTGCCTTTATTACTCCCTCCGCCCCCAAATGAATTACACTTTACGCAAAACGAAGTAACTTCTCAAGTTTTTCAATTCATTTTATTTAAAGGTTAGTATAAAAATTAAAAATAAAACTTGCATATTTAAAAAGTACACAAAAGTTTTACAAAAAAGAAGTAACAAGAATATTTTACTTTATCAAATAAGCAATGAAAACACACTGATAAACAAAAAGTTCCGGTGATTTTTGAATAGTAAAGAGTGTAATTCATCGTGGGACTGAGGGAGTATAAAAAACGGCAGCACCTACTTTTGATCAAAATTTTATAAAAATTGAGGCGCTTGTTACTGTAAAAATCACCACCCATGTTTGCAAAATTTCCACAGAATAAAAGTAAACAGAAATGCAATGTGAGTTCACCCACTCCAGAATGATGTTGTGGGTGTTTTTTTGCAATTGCAAAACTGGATAGGGATGTAGTATCTTGGGATCCAATGACTAAAGTTTTAAAGATATCTGAACATACAAACTATGAACCAAATTGAAAAAATCCAACTTATGGCACCAATATTGTCTAGGTGTCAAAACAAAAATTGTCTAGGTGTCAACTTTAGGGAGTATGGTATATACTTGGGCTTTGCCTCTTCATCCAAAGAGTAGAAATGCTATTTCCGTGATTACTTCTGGCAATATGTACAAATCACAAAGTAATACTAGTAGAAAATAAAATTTGTAGTTCAAGCTGTTCTCTTTTTTGACTGAATGTTTCATTCATTTTACAGACTGATCTGGTTGATGAAGCAGCCATGGCTTCCTTGATTGAACGCATAAGGGTTGGTGTTTTTGTAAATTACTCTTCTTAATAACCAAAAGTATCTTTAACGGCATCTTTACACCATCACTTTGCTAATAACAGAGAATAAATCAAATGGCACACCTGAAGATGACAAAATACGGAAAAGTTGATATGGAATATGTTCTTGGTATTGGAGGATTTGATTTGGAAAGGTTATCTTTTCACTTTTTCTTTCACGACTCTGGTTTCCATCCTAAGAGGTCAAACATGATAGGAGTTGTAGTTCGTAGTCTAAGGTTATATATGTTTTTTTTTTAAATTCCATGAATATCCGATGTGAGACATGCTCTCAAACACCCATAACAAGTAGACCTAGGGCCAGTCTCTTGCAAACTTGTCACAGATGTTCACATTCTGGCTGCAGGTGTTACTAGCTCTCATTAGTCTCATATAATATAAAAAGTTATGGGTTTTATTGGGGTAATTTTCTTGGATTTACTAGCTCTCAATGTTTTTATATTTGTGCATCAATATCATTCAGGGAAACTCATATCAACATTAATTTGTCTCACTTGCTCCATTGTTTGTTATCTTGGACTTATGGACTAGTAGATAGTCATACAAATTGGTCTAATATGCCATAAGTATCTCTAGTTGCTTTGACATAATGGATCTGCCAAAATAGGTGCCTCTATTTCTTGGAAAAACTGTTCACACCACAGTAGAATTCAAGGGTAGATGTTTCCATGATATTCTATTCTCAACGCCTCTGCTGTGTTGGGGCTCGAACCTGGGCAAACTTCCCCAGGAATCCCTGTGAGTGGGCTTCTTACCACTCAAACCAGGGTAGAAGTTCATTGAATGATTCACATTATTAGTCTCATCTCTACGTAAATCTCAACCACACAATTTCACCTTTACGTAAACACAGTGAAAAATTTATCTTGTTTTTCATATGCAGTAATTTTTTGTCAACCTTTTCTGTGTGATGCATTTATTATTTAATTTGGTCATTTCTACAATGAAAGAATTCTGCATGCGTACTTTTTTCCTTTTAGTTATTCCGTGCAACTCATAGAAGTAAAATCTCTATATCTATTCTATTTTTAATACCGTACATTCATGATCTCTTTGGCCATGAAGGCTCTCATTAGGCCATATTGTTTCTCAGGCTCAGCTTAAACTATTTGAGCTTTCACTACACATGCTTATCTAATTAAAATTGGCTGAGCCTGAAACAAGTGATTCAACTTTTCAGAGTTTTAGGTAAGATTATTCATGCCCCTCAACCCACACAACACACTGGCACTGCCTTAAAGTTATATGAGTTCTATAAGGTGGTGTCAATGTGCGTCCTGATCTTTAACTGCATAATAGAGATGGGGGTTAGGGGAAGAATGGAACAAGCGATTCCTATGAAATGCTACTATACATTATACCTTTAAGAGTTTATTTGGGGAGATTATTCTAGCCCCACAACCCACACAACACTCATAGCATCACCTTAGAGTTATATAAGTTCTATATGGTGTCCATGTGCGTCCTGAGCCTCTGCATAATAGAGGTGGAAGGTACTGGAAGAATGCAATTCTCATTGAAATAGTGTTCATTAAAAAAATTATTTTATTTAAAATGATCTGAATATAGTAATTGATTGATTAAAAAAGTCTACATGATAATCTAATGTTTTGTCCAGTTAATTACGATCTGACTTTTGATATAGGAATTTAATAATATCAACATTTCGAGTTTTAGACTGAATAAACTTTGATACATTTTACGCAACTACTTCAAAAGCTAGGATTATTTCTTGCAAATATTAACAGTCAGATTATTATTATTATTAGCATTCTGTTATAAGGCTAGCTTATCCTGCTCAAATATTCCATTTGTTTTTATTGTTTGCTCAGTTATTCCATTCATTGGTGTGGAATGCTTCAATCCTCATTTTTGTTTCCATTCTCCCTTTTTATTTTCCATCCTCCATGTCTGCGTGCCTAACTCTTTTCCAATGCAGAATTGAAAGTGCTATTGATACAGAAATTTCCAAAGAAGATCATGACCAACACCATAAACATGAACATGACGCCCATCACGACCACGATAATCATCATCATTCACATGGTAATTTGGCCAACTTGTGGTCATTTGACACTTCGAAAAATAAGTTCGGAAAATTATGGTTTACATGCATATTGTCGCCTGTTTATATTTGCAGATCATCATGAGCATCATCATTCTCACAACCATACTCATGATCCCGGTGTTTCATCTGTTAGCATTGTTTGCGACGGGATCCTAGATCTCGAGAAGGTTGGCATATCGGCCTGTTTTGTTTCTCTTATTGACGCCTAATAATTTAACCTCTACCTCCATCCTAGTGTGTTTGTCCCGTTTGACTTTTGTTGTTTGACTTTTTGCTGTTAAGCAGGGTGAGCTTCGATCGTCAATTAAATAAAAATTGCCTTACACATGAATACAAAAATGACTTCATTACATTTATCTGAAAAATATTTTCAAAAATCATTTCGTATTATTAATAAACAATGTAATATTTATTTATATAATGATAATTGTTTGTTCAGTTTGATTGCAAAAAGTCAAACTGGACAAGCACATTAGGACGGAGGAAGTAGATGGTATGATGCGATTAAGCTCCTGTGTGGTACAAAAAGGAAAAATAATTGTAGATTTCTTTCTAGTAAGTAGTCATGGCATTTCATGTTTCAGGCTAACATGTGGCTGGGAACATTATTGATGGAAAGGAGCGAAGATATATATCGGATGAAGGGTCTTTTGTGTGTTCAGGGGATGGATGAAAGATTTGTCTTTCAGGTTTTTTTTGGGTTTTTATTTTCTTATAGCTATATTCGCATTGTTGCTTTCTGTATTCTACTATAAAAAGCTCATTCTGTGGGAGGGAATAAGCATCAAAATTGGCTATTTGCAACGCATTTTCAACCTATTTACCCAATTTAAACTCTCCAAACGGTGCACCGCTTAACACATTGGTTGTTTTCTTTACACTATGTTTGGTTCGAGGAAATTGGAAGGAAAAGAAAATGAAATGGTTTTCCCTCAATTTCCTCACCAAAATAGGAGGAATTTGGTTTTTCCTCATCTTAGTGCATTTTGCCTTCTCATTTTCTTTTCCTTCCACTTTTCTTTTCTTTTCCTCCCTAACCAAACAAGAAAAATGTTATCCTTCTCATTTTCTTTTCTTTTCCCTCTCAAATTCCTTGAACCAAACATTGTGTTAATGTATCTGCCTACACATGTTCGTTACAGGGAGTTCACGACATATTCCAAGGTTCCCCAGACAGGCCATGGCTTCCCGATGAGAATAGGACGAACAAGATTGTTTTTATCGGAAAGAATTTGGATGGGAAAGATCTAGAGAATGGTTTCAAGGCCTGCCTGCTCTAATGCTAAATCCATTGGAGAATATAATCTCCGCAAGGCTAATGGAAGGTGAATTGACTTTTTTGCTTTTGAAGTTTCGCTACCTTTGTGGGATGATTCTACTAGGTTGTTGTTGCTCTTGAAGTTTCACTTCACCTATGGGACTTTTGAACAATTTTTGGTGCTTCGAATCAATATATTAATTTAACCGTGCATATTTTCTGCCTTTTGTGTTTCTGGTCTTTCCCCCTGAAGTCAAACTGCTGAAAGATTTAGTTCAAACTTATTCAAAAAAAAATTCACACTTCATGTTTGGATGCCTCGAAATACACAATATTTAGTTAGTGAATTTCATTGGGGAAAATAAAAAAAATGAGATGGAAAACTAATTTCTTTGTTTGGTTACTGAGGAAAAGAAAAGAAAACTGAGAGGGAAATAAAGTGTAGAAAAAATGATTTAAAATTGTGGAAAAGAAGTTTCCTTTCAAAACAGGATGGAAAATGAGATAAAGGCTTGGCGGCTTCCCCCTTTGAAATCTATCTCCGTCTCCCAAGAATGATGAAAAAAAGGGTCACCCGCTAATTCATCCACATGTTAGATTTGTTTTTTTTCCTTCATAGTAATTTTTAATTTGAGTCAACAGTTGTGAAAAAAATTATACTTGTGTTCCAAAAAGGGCTTCGATATGATCACATAATAAGAAATGTAAATCGTAACTCTAGAATTTGTTTAAAATGTCCCTTAGGTGTCCTTGTTTATATATATTAGATAACAATACAAATTATAGAAATATACTCTATATTTTGTTAATTTACAAAATGCACAATATAAAATTTATTTTTTTTGTTGAATCTATTGAATTTCTACTTTAGGCGAAAAGATCTATAAAAGTGTTAGCCTAGTATTTTATGTATATTTTGTTTATTGTGTATTGGGCCGTGCATAGCTTGGGCCCGTGACTTGTATTCTCGGCTTTGTATATAAACTTCCGGTGATTAATGGAAAACACAGTTTTCACGTAAAATATTTTTACATGGTATCAGAGCGATCCTAGGGCAAAGTCTCGAAACCATACGCTCGTATTCTCGTTTGTGTGCCGTCCGATGTGTTCGCCGTCAGTTCGGCGGTGTTTGTTCGTCGCTGGTGCGCCGGAGACTGGAGCCCGTCAGCCCTCCTCCGTCGCTGGTCTGTCTGCCGTTAACCGCTGCTGTCTTCTCGTCGCCGGCTCGTACGTTCAACGTCTGTCAACATGTCCGGCGAAATCGTAGCCTCCAACCCTAAAAAGACTCGGCTCATTCATGATCCTTCTTCCATATATTACCTTCACCCCTCCGAAGGCCCGGGTAATTCCTTGACAAAATATCTTCTTAAAAGTGACAATTTTGATGTATGGGAGAAGGCAATCCGTAATGCTTTGGGTGGTCGTGGAAAATCTGTTTTCTTGTCATCCGGAAGTGTTCCTAAACCTACTGATGAACAGGAATTATCCGCATGGTGTGCTAATCATCAAATTATTTGTAGTTGGATTTTTAACAGTGTTGATGATCTATCCAGCGTAGTATTGTTTCTCACTCAATAGCTTATGAATTGTGGAATGATTTGAAGAAACACTATAGTTGTTCTAATGGGCCTCGTGTGTACCAGTTAAAGTCGGAGTTGAACTCTTTACGTCAGAAAGCTCAAAGTGTTGTTTCCTACTACAACCAATTTATTACGTTGTGGAATCAATTGTATGGCTCCTCTGATCTTACCGGGGGCTGCCGGTGTGAGGCCGCAGGGGTTATGCGCGCCCGTATTGATCGTGACAAAACCGTGGATTTCTTGCTTGGATTGGATGATGAGCAGTTTGGGAATATTCGTTCTCAGATTATAGGCACTGAACCGGTGCCCGATCTCGATCGTGTGTATTTCTTGGTTACCCAGGAGGAGCGCCATCGCCATATAGTTCGCACTAGGGACGATCGCACGGACTCCGTTGCTTTCGCTGCCCGATCCGACAATTTTGCTTCCAAAGAGGTCTTGTTCGCATTGTGGTCGTACTAATCATAGCGTGGATACATGTTTTGAGCTCATCGGTTTTCCAGCACAGTATGCTCGTGGTGGAGGGCGGGGTCGCGGCAGTGGCCCCACAGGTCGGGGGGGATCGGCGTCCGGTGGCCGTGGCTCTGCTCGGCACGGCAGCGCCCCTCACACCCCTGCCGGCAGTGGGCAGCCGGTCCAGGGCAGTAGCGGTGGTCCTCCTGCAGCTGCTCATGCTTCAGTGTCTGACTCGAGCGGCAACCTCAGTGATCAAATGTCTCGCTTGATGTCTATGTTAGAGGCGTCCGCTTCTCATGCATACACCGGTAATTCTTCTTCTGATTGGTTAATTGATAGTGGCGCTTCGCATCACATGACAGGTTCTCTCACTCACCTAGTCAATGTTGAGGATGTTTCCCCGCATTCTGTCTGTCTCCCTGATGGGTCTCGTGTCCAGGCCACAAAACAGGGAAGTGTACATTTGTCATCTCGTTTGGTATTACGTAATGTGTTATACGTACCAAACTTGCAGTGTCACTTGATTTCTGTTGGATGTTTGATACGTGATAATACTTGTTATGTAACTTTTAATGATCATCGTTGTGTGATACAGGACCGTTCATCGAAGATGGTGATTGGACAGGGTGATTTGCGCAATGGTGTGTATGTTTTTGCATCTGTTCCTGTGTCAGCTCTCGTAGCCAATCTTGATCCTTTTGTTCTTCATCAACGGCTAGGCCACCCTTCCGTTGACGTTCTTTCGTTTCTTGGTACCAATAAAACACAATCTGTTGTTCACAAATTACAAACTTGTGAGATTTGTTTTATGTCTAAGCAAACTCGTTCCCCATTTCGTATTAGTGATAATAAAGCTGATGCTATTTTTGATTTAATTCATTGTGATCTGTGGGGACCTTATTCGCCTTGTATTTCGTCTGGGCACATTATTTTCTGACAATTGTTGATGTTTTTTCTCGGGCTGTCTGGGTTTATTTGATTAAATCAAAGAGTGAGGTCACTTCTTGTCTACGACGTTTTTTCATAATGATCAACACCCAATACTCCAAAACTATAAAAATTGTTCGTTCTGACAATGGCACTAAATTTCTCAATTCTTCATTGCGTCAGTATTATGATAGTTTGGGTGTGTGTATTCAAACGTCTTGTGTTGGTACCCCACAACAAAATGGGCGGGTAGAACGAAAACATCGTCATATACTAAATGTGGCCCGATCCCT